ACCATTTTTCTACAGATGTGTCCACAGTGACACCATGTGCTTATTTGTTTCGGTACAGATACTCCTGAGGTAATATTAATCAGCTTTTCCTTTTCTGTGCATCGTATGCAATGTTTAAAAAAACACTTCTATTCCTTGAATGAATGCATATCACCCACCACCGTTTGTACTTGTGTTTTATACTGAAATAATCCTGTGAAATGACAGTGTTCTTGCTGTTAAATGTACATTTTCCCCACAAAATCTGTAAAATTGACAATTCCGAGCCTTTTTTGTGTGGTGAGGTGGTGGCCATTTTGAATGTAATTGACTTTAAAAGTTATTAGTTGTAAATAAATGATCAGCTGTTAAGTGTTTAATCTAATTCTGCCCAGCGGTTCATCAGATATTTTGCTGAAAGAGGTACCACCGCTCATGTTTACCGTTGACAGACACAGCAGCACTATATGGCATCAGCATCAGTTCAACCAAACCCAGATTATTCCTCCTTCATCCCAGCCTAAAATAACAAGAGTTCACTCATCTGTGGTACCTCTGTGTGGGCTAAAGGTCAGACTGTTTCTTATTTCTATAAAAGCAGCAGTAAATCTAGCCGAAGGAAACAGTCTGCTGCACCTGAAAAATGACTCTGACTTTTAAAACTGCTCTGACATTTCTGAAATGGCTCTGAGAAGTGCAGCCCTTTTTTTTCTTACCAGCTGCTTCACAACAGGAGGCAAAACTGAGTTTCAGCCAATCACAAGCTTATCACTCAGCAAACGATTTAAAGGGATCATCTGGTCTTTTATGAAATGATTTTCTGTCAAATGGTTATCAACGGTTTGTACCTTTTCCACCGTGACATCAGTCTCCAAGCACAGGATGTGGAGAAAAGGGCAAAAGCCTTTGTCCAAACGAAATGAATTCATTTCTGTTTTCTCTTTAAAGGCACAGTGTGTAGGATTTGTTGTTTTCAGCGACATCTAGTGGTTCAGTGGTTGAATCATCCTCCCTGGTCCTCCCCCCACCCCCACCCCGCTTCCAAATTCTACGGTGTCTCTCAGGTGTCAAAAACCTTTGATAATTCCAACCGCGATGTCTACCAGCAGCTTCAGGGCTAGTGATGTTTCAAGTGGTAAGATTATGAGCTTTAATAAGTAAAATTATACCAGCTATGTTTACATGCACAAAATGTTTTAATCGGATTGAAATGTATTCAGATTAAATAATCCGAATGTACTGTTTACATGGACACAATCTGATCATGAAAAGTGTTTACATGCACCGGAGTTTTATTCAGAATAAAAGTGCGGACATGCGCAGTGTTGTAAACTCTATTTCCGTGTTACAAACGTAAACAAAGCTCCTCTGTGCCTCAGGACCGACCCGTGTCAGCTTTCAATAACTGTAGAGACATCATTACTCCTCGGTTGAGCTGCAGATGAAGCAATACGTGCTTTTTATTTTTATTTTTTGCGAAGCAACGTCTGCTGTTTGCCTCCTTTTTCATCTGTTAAGAGAGCGTGGAGGAAAAGTTCTGCACGCTGCAGCGCAGCTGGAGCGCTGCTGTCCCACCGGGTGAATGAAAATCAGCAGACATGCGCACACAGGTCAGTTTTCTACAATCAGAATAAGATGATCCGATTAAGTGTTTACATGAACCTCATTCTGATTATCAATCGGCATAAACCACCCTTTTCATTCGGATTAAAAATTAATTCGGATCGAGCTCAATCGGATCAGAATAATTGGAACGGGCTGTTTATATGACACATTTTTATTCTGAACGGCCGTTTAATCCGATTACTTTTGTCCATGTAAACGCAGCTCATGACAGACAAGAAATATTACATTTATAGTTTTACAACTAAAACCATTTTTGACYCCGCCACCGCAGTTTGTCCTTCATGAGCCTTCGTAGACAAGATGGCGGTGCAAGATGGCGGTTGCCTGTGTGGTGACCCGCAACCATGGAGATATAAACAGCTTTTTATAAGGTAAAAATAATAAAACAAGGTCTTTGTCTGCAATGATTAGACATGTTTTTTATTATTGTCTTTAGTGATTATCTCAATTTCGGCTAAAAGAATTGACAAAGTCCAACACACTGTGCCTTTAATAGTCTTTCAAGCTTATAAAGAAGTATTTTTCTCAAAAACAACATAACAGTGTGAAAAAAGGCTACATTAATGGCTGAGGACATGATTTAACTTCATAAAATTTAGCATTACACGTGTACAACAATGGTCTGTGTGCTTACAAGTGAAACAGATTTAGTGTTATGCAAATACATGTATCTAACATTTAATCCAGCACCGCTGAACCAGCTGGGGGGAGGTTGTCAGTTTGAGTTCCCAAGTCAATGTTGAAATCTCCACACAAAAATAGTTTTAACATAACTCATTTCAAAGAGCTCTGTGATTTTATCAGAAAACAATTCAATATTTAAACCTGAGTGACACACACAGCTCACCACTATATTTTTAGAGTTCTCATTCAACACTTCAGTGGTAATTATTTCCATTACACCATCAACAATTATTGACATTTTGTCCCTAATTTTACACTTTAATTCAATATCAATAAACAAAGCAACACCCCCACCTCTTTTACTGCTTCTATTAACACAATATGACCCATATCCATTTATTTGATAGTTATTAATATTTTCATCACTTAACCAGCTGCTATTATACTAAAAATGTTTGTTTAACTGTTTTAAATGTTATTTTGAAATATTTGAATTCATACTTCTACTAGTAAAGTGATTAATAGAGAAGCCTGCATTTACCATTATACTGTTGTTGAATTACTCCTCATTATAATATTGACACTCTTCATTCATTGGAAAAAGATCTGCATCTACCATGTTTACATCGTATATTTTAGACTCTGAAGTTCATGAACATGCATTTATGTTGTTTGTTGTGTTACCTGAAGTGCCTGCAGAGGGCTCAGATAACACTTAACTATGCATACCGGGGTTTTAAGTTTTAATTAATAACTCATTGTGTGCACAGTTCAGAATTTTCAGGATGTCAAACTTACAGCGGGTAAAATAAGTATTGAACACGTCACCACTTTTCTCAGTAAATATATTACTAGAGGGGCTAATGACATGAAATTTTCACCAGATGTTGGTAACAACCCAAGTGATCCATACATACAAAGAAATCAAAACCATAAATGTCCAGAAATGAAGTTATTTGTAATAATGTGGAATGGCACAGGGAAAAAGTATTGAACACATGAAGAAAGGGAGGTGTAAAAAGGCATGGAAAGCCAAGACACCAGCTGAACTCTCTCAGTAATTAGAAAACAAATACTTCTTAAGTACAGTCCTTTTATTTTAAATATGTCCTGCTGGAGTGTGACATGATTTGTTTGTGTACAAACTAATACACTATCAGAATTTTATATATTTATACTTCTCATTCAACCACAATTAAATTCACTCTATCTAGGAGGCACAATTTATATGGATTGTATTTATTTTTTACAACAAGCAGCTGGGAGGAAAACAAGCAAAAATGAAATAAAAGTAACGACTTTCTACTTCTTGCCCTTTTTTTAAATGTAATGAGTAGAAAGTAGATAAGTGTGTGCAAATGTAAGAAGTAGAAGTAAAAAGTAGGCAAAAAGTAGGCTGAAAAATAATTACTCAAGTAAAGCACAGATACCCAAAATTTCTACTTAAGTAGAGTAACAAAGTATTTGTATTTAGTTAACTTACAACTCTGTGAAAGTGGAGAGGAAAATTAAAACAAGAATTAAAGAAACGTGGAGACATTAAGGATGGAAAGAGTATAATTCAAACATGAAATGATAAATATTGCATGTATTTTTTTAAATATAATAATATAAATAGATACTCTGGTCCACAGTTGAGCGCAGTAGATGGTGATATTGGATGCCAATGAGCAAAAAATGTAAGAACAGAAAAACACTTTTTTATTTTTGCATAGCACAGAACTTTTTTTAAATTGAAAACATTTACAAACAAAACATGGAAAAAAACGTTACTTTAAGATATCGGGCATTACAGGTTGAGTTATAAGTAACATAAAACACAGTATCAACCATAAGAAGGAAATAATAACTAAAATGAATGAATAAACTGAAAAAAAAAGACAAAAAGAAGTTTAAACCAAACCAAAGTTGTTAATCAAAGTATTAAGACGTTGAGCAGATTTGTTTTTAATTAGACTAAGAGATTCACCAAATGTTTTAAGGTGATTTTTCCAATAACCTATATTTGGCTTAGCTTTAAAAAAAAATCTTCATTTATGAATGAAAATTTTCCCAACATTACCATATTATTAATTAGAAAGTCTATTTCCGAATTATGACTGTAAATACCAAATTTTATTATTGCAATAGTTAAAGGTGGAAGT